AGACAGCCATGCCTGCTCCAGCCCCAGAAAAGGGCCCAAAAGAGTAAGATCCAGAAGAAAGATGACAAGAATCGCAGCAAGAGCAGGAAGCAGAGCTACTCCATCTATGTATGCAAATGTTGGAGCGGGTCCACCCCACACTGGCTCTCTTCTGAAACTGCAGGCATCACAAACTCTTTCATTAATCACATTTTCAAGTACGACACCAGGGAGGCTTTGCACTTGGGCAAACAGGCTCTCAGCCATCACTTCCCAGGTGCTCCACATGGCCATGCTTCTGCTGCTGCCGCCTAAGGACTTGGCACAGCACTGCATACCACACTGGTGGGCACCAGAGCCTTCACCAAGGGAGCATACCATGTAATTGCTCTTGACTGAGCTACATGGATCAGCTTCAGGACAAGCTGATGTCAAAATTAAAGCTGCTGTAGAAAAACAGTTCTTTATACATCATGTTAGTAATGCTGCATTGCTCTCTTGCTAGAACTACGGCACCGCTCTGTCACAGCTCGCTGTTAGCAGCCTGATATTTTGTTCCCACCGAAGTCAGTAACATTTTCATTGACTTCAGTGGCACAGAATCAAACTCCACATATAGAAGCAGTGGGGTCAAAAAAAAAATCCATCACCAGGCCACGGGATCAAATAACCTGTGTTCTCCTTCAGGCGTTTCCACTGATTAACTACGTGACTGGAAACAATGGGAGCTACATATCCAAACCCCCTTGCAATATCTTGGTATCTTGCCAAAACTTGTAAACAGAAATAAGTGATGACTGAGGGGGCTAACTTCAGATAGTCATGCATAAGAGGAACCTAAAACAATTAGTAATCACCTTCTAGAGTAGTCATCATTCCAGTACCAAAATGCACTAACACTGTTTCATTAGATTTCACGCTGTTAGGAGAAGTCTTGAAGAGGTGGGCTGCTGTTTTGCAAGTCAAGCAAGCATGAAAATGTAGGTCTTAAGGTATTAGTGCCTCAGCTTCTCCACCTGTGGAGAAGAAATGGCAGTAGTAGTTAAAATTGTTATGCAATTTGAGATATAAAATATTAAAGAATATAAATGAGAGGTTGCATGAAAATCTTTGTGATGTGTGTAAAAAAAACCACTAAATACGGTAAAAGACAGCCTTCACAGTTTACAGTGCCTATTTTCATGTAATCTGTAGCGTGATAGTAGTGCTCAGGCAGATTTGGGGTTGCCACAGAGAGGAAAAGAGGGCTGAAGCTGTTTCAGTAATCCAGGCTGACAGTAACACGCCCTATGAGATAACACACCGCTTGATCTTGTAGCTGTGTATCACTCCACTTCCACCTCCCCCAACTCAGCAGGCTGTATCGCTGCCCTGCACAATGGGGCTTCAGTTAGGAACCGGGACTCCATCCTGCAAAATACTGTATGAACAAACAGCAGCAGCATAGAAACACAGAATAATTCAGGTTGGAAGGGACCTCAGGAGGTCATCTAGTTCATGTTTCCAAAGAATATTTAAGTATGTTTTGTGGTTTGAGTTGTTTTTTTAAAGAGACAGTATCACCAGGACATAATTTTCCCACAAGGGAGCCATTTCTCATTATGCCAAGTGAGGGTTACAGACTTCAGCGCAATTATACAGAGTTACATCAGAGGAAGATCTGGCCAATTACACTACTTGCCAAAGTACTAATGTGTTTAACACAATGCTCCACTGCAGCAAGTTCAAGTTAATCCATATATTTTTTTTATCCAGAAGAAAAGCAAATGGCAAGGCCCACCAGCAGAGTGAATTTTGTCTGCCTTCTCCCTTCTCCCTCTGGAGACCTACAACCATATGGAGATCAATGCCAAGTGCTCCTGTGTGGCTTCTTGGTGCAGGCCACCACGAACACACCCAAGGCAGCTGCCCTGGGACTGCAGTTCAGTAAACAGGTGTTAACATGAATTCTGCAAAAAACACGTTGATTTTGAAAGTGAAGGACAGGTTCCATAATTTTAGTGCAATTTTTTATCAAAACTGTCATCAAATGCTCATTGGACGTTCTAAGAGAAAACTCCTTTGTAGAAAGAATTAAGTAAGCATTTTGAGATGAGTACCTGCCCAAAATTCAAAGAAATTAAGTGGAGAAGAATACGGCTCAGAATAGGGGCAAGAGCCAATTTTAGGTTCTTCAATGTTTCTATAACACACAAAAACAATTCTATGCAGCACACCTTGGCAGTAGCTCCAGGGGAGGAGGGGGGGCTGTCAGCCCCAGCCAAGTCACGCCGCAGGCGAAGGCCAAGCTACTGGGCCCCGTGCGGGGGTAACGCCACCAGCTTGGGAAGGGCAGGCCCGGCCGGCTAACGGGGGGGGGCCCCCCCCGCCGTTACGCCACCTTTCCCCGCATGTTTGGCGAATATTGAGCAATCTCGGTATTTTGTGTGGGTGCCGGCGGAGCCCCATGTCACAGACTGAGGGCTTCGGGCAAAATAAAGCAGGAGAGCCAGAGCCGAGGGAGCGCGGCCGCGGG